GATACAAGCCCAATTTCCTAAATAAGAGTCCAAGACAATAAATAAAGTCCAACTAGAAAATAAAATAAGTAAATAAACCGGATGTCCTCATCAACAACATTTTTTTGACATCATGTCTTTATCATTAAAGCTGTGCAAAAGTCTCCTGGGTTCCCCAGTCAAAGTACCACCAGAGTCCAAATATAAATGATGAAAGAATTATTGTATAAACGTACTCAATCATGCATAAACGTGTAATATAGTTCACTATCATAAAATGCAGAATTGCATGAATTACTCACCAGTACAAGCTGTAAAACGTTTGGGGTATTACAATTGTCTGAATTAGCTCTTTTAATATGTTAATAAAGTAATTAAGGTGATTACACTGTATTCAAATTTTTAATCTTCCTCCATCCTTTTAAGTTCAGACTAACACTTTTATTTATGTCGTCAGTCTGGCGAACTGGCCGAAAATGTGTCCAAAATAATTGAACCTCAATTTGTCGATATGATCGATATGTCTGAAGTACAGGTAAATTTTTTTTTCATGGGTTTTTCATTTATGCTTATCCTCTTGCTTCTACATTTTATAAACACTGCTTCATTTGTGCAGGATGAATTCTCAGCGGTTATTACAAAAGCCTTGATCACATTAGTGAATGGTATAGAAACTAAATTTGATGCTGAAATGGCTGCAATGACACGAGTACCCTGGGGAACACTTGAAAGTGTTGGTGACCAATCAGAGTAAGATGATCTCCATGAATATGCTAACTATTAAAGGTGGCTGTTATGTTTTTTACGTAAACCTCATATACATTCCTGCAGGTATGTCAATTCCATAAACATGATTTTCACTACTAGCATTCCTGTACTTGGAAGCCTTCTTTCTCCAATTTATTTCCAGTTCTTCCTTGACAAGGTGAGTATGTGAATGTGAACACTTATGTTCCCACAATCTTTGCTTAGCGCTGTTGGCCAGGGCTTTAAAAATCTAAATTTTTACTCTGCATCACTTTATTTTCTATCATGCTCATATTTACAAATAAACCAGTGAACATTAAAAACTCTGCAAAATATAATTCTTTGATTCTTTTCTGGATCTTTCTTTATGGCGACTTCTTGATTCAGTGCTCATATTTTTGTTCTTTGCAGCTTGCATCTTCTCTTGGTCCACGCTTCTACCTCAATATATTCAAATGCAAGCAAATATCAGAAACAGGAGCACAACAAGTATTGATCATCAGCTCGTCATTTTGTTATATGTTTTGAAGTAATCCGAAAGGGGCCATTTTACTGGATTTGAATGTAAATCTCCACATTATGCAATTTGCAGATGTTATTGGATACACAGGCTGTAAAAACTATTCTTCTGGATATTCCTTCCTTGGGGAAACAGGTAAGCGAGAAGTCGGAGTTCTTGCAAACTGTACTTCGTAATTTACACGTACCTGGCTTATCCCTGTCATCTTCTAAGAAATGTTCTGATTTTGGGGAAGAAAACATACACCTACAATTGATTCTGTTAAGTAGTTGAGAGGGGCTGAGTAATTATATGTACAAACCAGGTTCCAATTGCAACTTAGATTTGTCACCCCCTGTATCCATAATAATGGGATAAAAAAATATCCCAATTATCAGTCGCTGGTTACCCCATCTAGAAATGATCCAACTTAGTCTAATTTCCCCAAACAAAATGGTAACTTTTCAGTTAATTTTCATGATTTGTGCTAACATGGTTTAAATTCTACTGGTTTATGACAGTTTATTTTCACTCGACATGAAGGTTTAATTTGCAATTAAAAAGATTTAGTTAGATATTATTTAAGTTTCCACACACATACGTGCTAGAGTGAATACCAATCATTGCATGATTAATAAATTAAATTTTAGGATAAATATTATCCAACCAAAATTGTAGTGTTTCAATTATGGAGCCCTTGTAGTTATATGAGGCGGATCCCATATAACTACTGTTTCCTCTTAACAGACATCTGGAGCTTCCAGCTACTCGAAATTTGTAAATCGTGAGATGAGCAAAGCGGAAGCATTACTGAAGGTGTGATTAAAGTAGCATCTGGGTTTTTTTGACTTGAAAAGTCATCATTTAGATGTATTTTACAAGTCCCATGCTTCATTCCTGCTTGTGCCACAGGTTATATTGTCCCCAGTTGACTCCGTGGCAGACACATATTGTGCCCTGCTACCTGAGGGAACAGCTGCAGAGTTTCAGCGGATTCTGGATCTGAAGGTTTTTCAAGATTATCACTATCTAGTTATTTTTTGTTGACTCTCAGCTGGAATTTCAAATACTTGTTATTTTTCCCAAAAGGTTATAATAAATAATTAGGTCTGTTATTTGACCGTATTATACATACCATGTTTTCTTCTCTTGGGAATTAGACTTTGTCTGGGTCGTTGATCCCTCCAAAAAGGGGTATGGTTACCCTCTTTGTTTGTAGTCTACTTACAAGTAAACTTCTTGCTTCCAAACCATGCTCATAGTGTCAGTGCGTGTGGTGTATGACCTGCCAGTGCCTATCTTTGGCAAGTTAGAAGGCCGTTTAATTGCAATGTCTAATAACTGGTTATGTTTCATCTTTCAAGATTTTCATTATGTTTACCAAAAATTCGATCCTCACGTTCTTTGGCAGGGCCTCAAGAGGACTGACCAGCAAAGCATACTCGATGATTATAACAAACGTGGAGCTAGAACCACTCAACCATCTTTCAATTCAGTCATGCCCGCTGTCTCCAGCACGTCCATTGCACCAGTGCTAAGCAGTCCTGCTGCTCCTGGAATAATCTTATCAGGAGAGGAAGTGCTAGCAAGAGCAGCTGCATTTGGAAGAGGTTTTTCTGCAACTGGATTCAAGAAATTTCTAGCTTTAACTGAAGCTGCTAAGGATCAAAAGGATGGGACACTCAGGAAGTTCTTCGTTGGATGAAAATGTCGATGTTAGTGAATGATATGAATGAAAGGTTCTTCATTTTCATTCTCAGGAACGAATCTTTTGATTTCTACTCAACATTTACACCCCTCCGGGGTATGAGACATGGTCTAGTTACGTTGATTCCTTTTAAAATTTTCTGATTTATAGGATCCTAGTTAGCTGAGTATTTTGTACAAGGAGAGAAATCTAAAGATTCTTTTGATTAGTAAATAAATAAACAATATCAATGTCTCTTTGTGATGTGGTTGTGAGCTTTCTGTAAAAGTAGCCATAAAAATGACAGGACAGAAAAAAAAATTGTGGAGCTCGTGCTCGACTCCAAATTTATTGGGAATTTGTATTTGTTTGTTGTGGAATGATACGAGCAACTGTATCGATAGAATTTTCTTATTGGAGGCCATCACTTGACAATAATATTGGCTTTGCTTATAGATGGGAATTTGTGATATTTCAATTAGAAATTTTCTTTAGCCACCTTTTTGTTCAAAGGGTTGAAGGGAAGATTATACATCAATTTTTGCTCACACAGAATTGACAACGAGATTTGATGTCAATATATCAACAAGTTTAGAAATTTTTTCGGCATGTTGAACCTACTCGAGCTGGTTCTTTGAACCAAGAAGACTGATCCAAAATAACAAGTCAATCAAGGAAGAAAAAGAGGCAATAAATCTGTTTTCACATCTTCGTTTTTCTTTTCATATGATTTTTGCTGAATAGACGCTATTGTAGCATTATAAACTATAACAATTCCAAATTTATCAAGAATAAGAGTTATTTTGTTGTTTACACACACACACAAATGTATACTAGAATGGGTAAACGAAGCAACCTCTCGGGGCATAGTCAAGTGGTGTAAAGTACAGGAATGAGTTTATCTCAAACTTTGCTGGCAGCCACAGTGTGGGGGTTCAATTCTTGAGACATGGAATTGGACTCCTTGTAGGCGTAGTGTATATGTAACTCTTGTTCCTTGGCCTGTTGGGACACATCCCGCAATTTACCTCCTTCACAAAATTCTAAGGAAGGGGAAATGGGGGTCCTCAAGGTTGGAGTTCAACCTTTTTTTTAGAATGGGTAAACGAAGTGATGAGAAATTTATTACATAACATGTTAACATGTAGTCATAAATTTATGTTCGTACTTCACATTCCATTTTCTTTACAAAATTTGGTCATTGGCTTAATTAATTCCACGATCAATAGAGTTTCTTATGAAGTCATAATTTCCAATTATTCCTAAACTAAGTCAAAGAGATTTAATTATTTAAGAATTGTTTGTATTAAAGTCTATATAATAAATTGGAGTAATGTCTTTATTCTTTTTCACTCGTGATCATTTTATAATAAAATAGCAATAATTACTTATATTTGGAGCAACAATATTCAATTCGATGAAATTAAGTTGATCTTTCTGAAGATCTTTAAAGGGATATAACAACAATGAATTGATTGCTAGTTATAAATTTTCTTCTTCTTGGTGTAGAAAACAATTGATAAATTAATCATTCAAAATATAAGTTGTATCACAATTCTACTTGTTCATATTCCCTAAAATAAGTATCTCTCGATATTCACTCCCTTTTTTATGGAAACTAAATTATGCCACATCATACATTTTCATACATCGCGATATTTATTTCAGAGTTCCTCTCTAATTCTTTGAGATAAAAAATATGTACAAACTAGCCCACTTCAAGAAATTTTTATTTAACATTCAAATATATTTGACTATATATTAATATAAAGATTTTGGAAGTTTACAAAATGAGAAATTTTATATAATTTATACCTCTCACCCCAGCATACAAAGAAAGAAAGAAAATCCCCTCTATTTCTAGGTTTGGCTTAAGTAATTAATGTTGGTTCTCATTTGACAAAGCTTTTAATTCAAGAGATTCTCGAAATAGATTTTGAGGGGTGAAAGAAATTGATGAGCCAATCGATACGTGTTCGTGTAAGATCTTTGCTCAAACTATATCAATTTCAAATAATAATAATAATAATAATAATAATAATAATAATAATAATAATATTGCAACAAACATACAAGCTAGAAAGAATATTCAGGAAAAGTTGCACTTTAAAAATAATTTCATAGCTGACAAGAATTCTTCCATCATTTTTTAGAATAATTGATGGTGAAAGCTTGAGAAATCTTAAACACGAACCCTAATTGCAATACACGGTTATTCATTCAATCATTTGCCGAAAAGCAATGATAAAAAAAAAGTGATTTTCAACAATAATTAAACATGGGAGCTGCTTCTGAATGAACCAAGGGCTTTAGCTGCTCCTGCTCTCAAAATAAACTGGTGGTAGAAGGCTGCAATGGCTGCACCAAAGAAGGGTCCAACCCAGAAGATCCACTGAAGGACACGAAAGTAAATAGATAAATTACTACTTGTGATTTTGGGTGGGGGTATAAATAATATTGAAAACTATATGTTTAGAGCTTTTGAAATATAACTTTTTGCTATTTTTGTTTATAGTCAGTCTCAAGTTCGAATAAAGAAAGGGGTTGACAGCGAAGTATAAAATTTTCTCACTTCTTCAACATGATTTCGACGATACTTTTTGACTAGGCTGTCATAATCGAAAAAATTCATAAAAACACGAGAGCTGGTATGTTGACAATGAACTTGAAATTTATCGGGGATCTTCGAGAAGAATTCACAATAAATAAAGTGAATGAAATGGCGCAAAACATTATGAGTATAGTTAAATCTAATTTGTAATACTTTGGGAAAAATGCTAACCTGATCATCCCAAGCTTTTTCCTGGTTGTAGATCACTGCAGCCCCTAAACTCCTAGCAGGGTTGATACCAGTACCAGTGATGGGGATGGTGGCCAAATGAACCATGAAAACTGCAAATCCAATTGGAAGAGGTGCCAATACCTAAGATTCAAGTCCAAATGCAAAAATTGTCAATATTAAATTACTTTTAAGTAATATTGTCAGTAAAGCTACTAAATAAGTTATTTTCTACTTGGACCCCCAAAAAAATTATTTTAATACTTATTCAATTATAAGTAAATTTTTTAAGGTTAACCAAACATGCACTTCTCAAAAGAAAAAAAATAGAGAATTGTATATGTCAACTTACAGGGACATGGGAATCCCTGGCACTTCTCTTGGGATCAGTGGCAGAGAAAACTGTGTAAACAAGGACGAATGTTCCGATTATCTCCGCGGATAATCCGACGCCGGTGCTGTAGCCATCGGCGAGCTCATTTGCGCCGCCGCCATATTTCTTGTAGTGTGACTTCTGTAACGCCTTCACCAGCGCGACGCCACAAATGGCCCCCAAACACTGAGCCACCATATACATAATGGCTCTGATCATTGACACCTTTCGGGCCAAGAAAAGCCCGAATGTCACTGCTGGATTAATGTGTCCCCCTGAGATGCACATGACATGACATGAGAAATGCCATTAAAATCAAACCATACATGTATGCATGTATCTGTGTGCGTATAAACAAAACTCACCGGAAATTCCAGCGGTGCAGTAGACAAGAACGAAGATCATTCCACCAAAGGCCCATGCAATACCAAGAATTCCAACGCCACCGCACTGATCACCGCCGTGGCCAACCGTGGTATCAATCTGGCTCTTGTACCCAATCACAGTCAAAACCGTAATGTAAAGGAAGAGCAAGGTGGCTATAAACTCGGCTATAACAGCTCTGTAAAATGACCACTTTGTAAGCTCCTCCGCGTCAATCAGCGGAGCTGGTGGTGGATCTTGGTAGTCCTTTGCCGCGAACGATCCATGCTCCGCCACTCCAGCGTCCTTTGCCATACTTTAGAACCCACAAAGAGAAATTTGTATATATATATTTTTTCTTGTATATGAGAGGCTAGTGAGCTTGTAATTTTGTCTGCTTGGCGAGAATATAAATACACACAAACGCATATTTATATATAAACTATGTGGGTGGAGTGGGGGGGCCAATTGGCCGTCCACTATTTCGCTTTCACCGACTCAACAGACACTGCCCCACCACCCTGCACCATTTTCTTCCTTTCATTAACGGCTAGTCTATGCATGTTAACGTTGGGGGAAAAAAAACAAAAAATAATACTTTCACTATATGTAAATGAAAAAGAAAAGAAATTACTTTGGCATTTAATTTATTTTAGATAAGTGCCGAAAAATAAGTTGATCTTAAATTTATTAAGAATAGAAATTGCTTTATCATTGTTACGTCGACAATAATTAAGAAGCCTTACGTAATCATAGTATTTTTCTTTTGAGAGATGCTATACGTATGGAAAAATTAAATCGCTAAAAAAAAAAGCAACATTAATGATGGAAAAATCTATTTTTGGTTAACACTTTAACCAACGGAAACATAGTGGTTTAAAAAATTGGTTTGGTAGCAAAGTTGGTAAACACCAATTCAAACATCTTTGAATTATGCAATTTGATGAGCTGTTTGAATACTATTTTAAACGTTAAGAAAGGGGGCGGGGACATAATTAAACAAATTAAGTGTAAAAAGTATTCATTTTCTTAAAAAAAAAAAAAAAGGTTGAACCTTAACCTTGAGGGCTCCCACCGCCCCGTCCCTAAAGTTTTGTGAGAGAGGTAAATCGCAGGATGTGCCCCACCAGGTCAGGGAACAAGTACATTGTAGAGATCATAAAAAATAATTTTGAAATTGAATTAAAATCCAGATATATAGCCACTGTTTGGTTTAGCTAAAATGTAGATTTTTAGTCCATGTTTGATTCTCATTCTTTGAAAAAAATATATTCTTAAACAAAGCTATGATATCATTTCAACCACACATTTTTCAATAAAATAAGATTACACGCATATTCAAATTTTTTCTTATTTTTTAACCACACATTTCCCATCAATATACTATTCAAAAATTCATTTTTATCAAAAGAATAGGGCTCAAACAATGGTTACATAAATTTTTTTTTAAAATTAATTACATTGTAATTGGAAAATTGATAAAATTTTTGAGTCCCATCAAATGAGTAGTTGAAAATGAATTTGAGATTCTTTTTTATTTTTTTTGAAAATTTGAAGCCAAACATAGCTGTAGTATGGAACCGATCAAGAGCTAAAACAAAATATTTTATTTTTTCTTTTACTTTTAACGGGAGTTTGATTCGATTCTGTTTTGATCCAAATGATGCGGATAAAATGTCTACTCCTAGTATGGTTAATTCAACACGACGGTGCACAAATATATAGCATATCTATCTTCTTTAATCATATTTATTCCTTTTCGACCTATAATCTGTAATATTTCATAATTAGTTCAACAATTAAACAAGACCAAAAAAATCATTTAGGTCCAAGTATGATGGTACAACTCATTTATCAAATTGTACCACCCACTTCTTATTCTATAGGTTTTAATCATTTTTCTTGTGTCCATTTATCACGGGGTAGGAATAATGAGATTTTGCATTGACCCGCCATTTTATTTATTTTGTATTTTCAAATTTCTTGTATCCAAAATTATGTTAATCAAATATCATTTGCCATTCAAGATTATATTTTATTATTGACATAATTCAGACCTTCGGGGCATAGTCTAGTGGTGCAAAGGACAGGAGTGAGGTTATTTCAAGCCTTGTTGGCAGCCGCAGTGTGGGGGTTCGATTCTTGAAACATGAAATTGAACTCCTTGTAGACGCAGTGTACATGTAGCTCTTGTTCCTTGGCCTGTTGGGGCATATCCCGCGATTTATCTCCTTCATAAAACTCTAAAGGCGGAGCGATGGAGGCCCTTAAGGTTGGGGTTCAACCTTTATTATTGACATAATTCGAACATTTTACAGCATAAAGATGCTAATATCGAGAGAAGACAAGTGGACAACTATCAGCCATTCATTAGTAAGCACACAGTGACTTGGATGGTTCTCAAGAAATATTGCTTTTTAGATTATTTTATTTAAGGCTTGTGAATGAGATCTGGCTTTAATTTTAAACAAGATTATCTTAAATTATGAGTGTCAAAAGTATCATCTACGAAAAACAATATTTCATGCTACCAAAAATTGTATCTAATGATACAAAGTAATCTTTATAAAATATTAAGAATTTTCTAATAAAGTTGAGACGTTTTATTTGCTCTTCTTGATTCAAGGGCAAAATGCATGTGTAATGGATAATTCTACATGTACACTATAGTGTCCATAATGTATATGTGGAATTCTATGATTGGAGGGTTGAAAGAAAAATTTAACCCTCCAATAATGTTATACAACTTGTACATTATTGACACCATAATATACATGTAGCATAAACCAGTCGAGAGTTTTCAATTAAGCAGTAGTGGAAACTAGGTACAAGAGAGTTTTTGTTTTTTTTTTTGGTTTTCATGTGGAAGAAAAGAATGGAGAAGATTTGATATTGGGAAATAGGGAAATAGTATATTAATTAATTTTTCTTATTGTAATTATGAATTTACGAAATAGGTACTATGCATCAAATTTTGAGATGTTAAAAGTGTGTATATATGCGTTAAACTTTAATATGATGAGCAACGATAAACTTGACAGGTCGAACATAGCAAAATTACAAGAACTGATGAGTCAATCAATCTGGTCGTATACATTGGCGAAGGGAAGTGAGGTCACTTACAACCATTAAAAAAAATAAAAATAAACCTCAGACCCGAAGTCGCCCACATGGCCATAATAGCCAGTTAACACGTAATGAATCTTGAATAACTATTTCTACGTCTCCATGAACAAAGACACCCACAGTACGATTACTCGATCCTTTCCAAAACATCAACCACTTAACGTCCATTCGATGGATCCATTTACGTTATTTCACATCCATTTTTTCTTTCCAAATAATTTTGCTTATTATATTGCTGGTTGCTATAACAATATTATTCCAGAACAATTTTAAGTTACTGAGAATAAAAGTTTATTTTGTTCTTCGTATATATCAACTGGAGATATATACTTGGATTGGTCGACAAGTTAAGAACTACAGAACTTATTATTTAACATCTAGTCCTTGTTCGATTTTATTAAAAATCAGATTTTTAGTAGATTTTAATAAAAATTAAAGAAATATACATTATTGAAAAGTTGATAAATAATATATAAACATTAACTAAAAACATGGGCTTTTTTGGACATTCCAACTAGGTGTGAGGTGGGTCCTAAATGTCTAGTTGTCTATGTACTCGGTGCTTTTTTCTCATTTAAAGTAAGTTTTGTTGGTTTGAACTCAACATAGTGAACATATCGTATAAAATTATTCAATCTAAGACTAAGCATGTTCATGCTTGGACTTCGTATTAACTTGTTTCTAAAATGTACTTTTTCTTACCTTTAAGTTAAGAAATTATTTTAAGATAACTCTAACATTTTGCTTAAGTAATTTATCTATTTTTAACTTTGACCAATAAATTAAAGCTTATTTACTTTTAAGTAACCTTTTAAGCAAATTAACTTTGGAATTTAAAGCTTGTTCAACAGTGATGCATAACATTATTTTTACGGTTTATGAGTTATGACAATTGATTTTGAAAAGAAAAAAAACTTATCAACCTACCGTGCTAGAAAATAAATTTGTATCAATCACGTGATTGTACTTTTAATTTTTATATAATAAGGGTAATTACACTTTAATTTGATTTTATTCAATAATTCAGTCCAATTCCTCATTTTAACTTATGAATATGGCTAATATGTACACTTGTTCCACGTTAGCAACTAACAATCACGCATGATGCTCGAAATTTTTGACTACCACATCATTTATTTCTAGGAATTGCATAGGATTACCTTATTTAATATTCAATTAAAGTGAAATAACTTAATTTAATTAAATTGAAGTACAGTTTCTCGACACTAGATTCAAAGTATACTATATCACACTCAAGCTCAATACTTTTTATATAAAAACTATTTTGGACATAATATTGCAGCAAACAAACAAATTAGCTAGACAGAATATTAGCAAAATGTAGCTCTTAGAAAGATTAATTAATAATTTAGATCACACAATGAAGCATATCTGCTACACTAATTCTTCCATTACACCTGACTTTCAAGAGTAAATTTGATGGTGAAAGCTTGAACATAAGCATTATTCATTCACATAAAATAAGAAGTTTCTGATTAAATACGGGAGCTGCTTCTATATGAACGAAAGGCTTTAGCTCTCAAAATACACTGGTGGTACAAGGCTGCCATGGCTGCACCAATGAAGGGTCCTACCCAGAATATCCACTGGAATTAAGAGAACAAAAATAAGCAAATAAATTATCACTTGTGGGCTGGTGGGGTAGATAATGTTAAAATTAGCCCCCGTTTGTTTCTCATTTTTGGGAGAATGAGAATGAAAAATATAGTCGTTACGGACCCCACACAAGAAATATAAATTCAAATTTGGTGACTTGATATGATGAATAACTATCATATTTTTCATTTTAATGAGAAAAGAATAGGAACCAAACAGGGATTTATAAATTTTATGACTAAAAGGAATGGTACTCATATTGTATTTTGTTCATAGTCGTTCCAACTAGTGTTGGGATATAAATATTTTTTCCATACTCAATCTCGAGTTCATATATATTAAGGATCATAAAGATTGAGCTAGGTTATTATTAAACGCATATTAATTTTCTCATATTTTATAATATGAATCCTACTAGGCATTTCATTAGGACTATTTCGGCAATAAAGGAACAAAGTACTTATAGAAAGGGATCCATGTAACTTTTAGTTAACTAGTGTGGCGTTTTAAAAATCATTCTTCTTGTCGGATAAATAATTAGGAGTAATTGAAATAAAATATTCTCCCTGACTTTAGTAAGACTTTAGTCTTACTAACATCTTTCATTTGGACACCCCAATAGCATCAACAATGAATTGAATAGAGGAGAGAAAAAATATTCAAGTTGTAGATCCAAATTTCATCGTAAGATTTAGGTCTGTTTGGTTTATGTTTCAATTTTCAATTTGAGTTCATTTTAGGTCTCTGTTTTGACGATCTATTCAATATTGGTAAAAACTCGTTTGATTTGTCATTTTAAAAAAAAAAATCTCAAAACAAAAAATTAGAAAACGTGTTTGGTTTAAAATTTTGAAAATTTATTGTATGACATTTAGTTCCATAAAATTATTCTATATATATAACGTTGTTTTTATTATAAATTTAGAGGGCGTTTGGGAGATATTTTTATGTAAAAATGCATTTTTGAATAGTAAATTGATGAAAAATGTGTAGTTGAAAAATAAGGAGAAGTTTTTGATATATGTGTAATATTATATTAATTAAAAATGTGTGGTTGAAAAGAAAAAAGAGAAAAATTCATTTTGAAAAAAATGGATACCAAACGGCTTATTTTCAAAACTGCATTTTCTAAAATAACAGATCAAACACGTT